CAACTTGAGAAAGTACTACTTGTAACCACCGAACTGGTCAAAAAGGACAACCGAACTAGAGAGAGGACTGTGACTCACTCCCAGAAGCCTAAGGGCCCTGGTGTCGAGCTGACATAAGACCTCGGCACTGCGATAACTCCTAGTCGCCTCTTCGGCATAAGCAGACAAGTCCTAGTCGCCTCTTCGGCATAGGCAAGCAAGTCCTAGTCACCTCTTCGGCATAGGCAAGCAAGTCCTAGTCACCTCTTCGGCATAGGCAGACAAGTCCTAGTCGCCTCTTCGGCATAGGCAGATAAGACCTAGTCGCCTCTTCGGCATAGGCAGACAAGTCCTAGTCACCTCTTCGGCATAGGCAGACAAGTCCTAGTCGCCTCTTCGGCATAGGCAGACCAGTTTTAGATGCCTGTGAGGCATAGACACCTCGGGTGCAAACCCTACGATGTCTAATTCACCTCGGCGTACAACAACAGGTCAATCCCACTTGGGGTCAGGCCCGTTAACTCGGCACTAAGGGATAACCAACACCTAAGCGAGTAGCCCGTGTGTAGACAGGTCGGGTGTATACCCTACAGTGCCCGCCCACCTCGGCGTACAATGATACGAGGTTATTCCTACTCGGAGTCTAGCTCGTTAGCTCGAAAATTCGGGGGTAATCTACACCTTGAAAAAATTTTGCACAAAAAGATTGCAAAAACACATGTATTTCATTAATATGGAATTTCGAATACAAAAAAAAAAAAGAAAAAAATTTACAATGGGTCGAGCTCAGAGGCTCAGAGTATTGAGTATTACAAAGGGGGTCCAAGAAAAGAGGCATTTAGTCATTTCAGGGCTCCTCATCCTTACTGGAGGCTTCAGCATGAGGATCTATCTCCATGCAGTCCTTGCCAACACCGGTCTCCTCATCCTCGTCAAGCAGGTCGTCATCACTTTCTGCTTCGGAGTCCGAATCTTGGGCAGCTTCAACGGCCATCTCCTCTGTGATCTTCAATGTGGTTATGGCACTAAGGTTGAGCTGGGGAAGTTCACGTCGGGTCAGCCACCTACTGAGTTTGAATCCTTTGCAGTAACCCGTTGTCCCTACCTCGATCAACCTTTCCCAAAGCTCCGCTGAGGACTTGTACTCCTTGGCAGCCTTAGCCTTAAGCCTCCTCCATCGCCTGAAGAAGTAGCTCGGTTCGTTCCTTCACATGGGCCTCGAGGTTCTCCACCTCCCTCTTCAATGCCACCTCATGCTCCTCGAGCTCCTTCTTCTCCGACATCAACAGAGTGAGCAGCTCCTTCTTAGCTCACGCATCGTTCTTCAGTTGGTTATTTTTGTTGCGAGCTAAGTTCAGTTCGGCGTGGGCTTTCCAGGAAGACTCCTCGGCTCTGAGGGCCCGCTTCAAGTTCACCTCGGACTGATAAGCCAAGGCATGGATGGAGGAATTCACCTGCCAAGCGAAGGAAACAAGCATCAGTATACAAAAAATCCAAGAACAAGATAGTTTGAAAAGACAAGTCCGAGAACTTACCACCATACAATGAGTAGCCGCTCGGGCCCCAAGCTAAGAAACTGGCAATTCGGCCCAACAAGCGACCTCCTCAACGAATACCGCATCCTTGCTCTTGAGAAGGCCGAATTTTGGGGTCAAAATACTCTGAACTGCGTCTCCGTTGCCCGAAGAAGTGGTGGTTGCGGGGATGGGCTCCGAAGACGTAGCCTCCTCGGTCACGCAGGGTGGGGAGGGCTTGCCCGATTCCTCCTCGACCAGGTCTATCACGGGAAGCTGATCGGTAGTTGATGGCTGCCGGGCTCAGGAACGGCAACTGGTGGGTGCTCAACACAAGCCTTCTTGGAGGCTCTCTTCTTCTTCTTCCCCCTCTTCATGCTCCCGAAGAGCTCGTTGGTGGGGATGTCATCCATGACAGCTACGACAAAAAACAAGTTGTCAGATACAGTACCGGAGTAAAACTAATAGAAAAAGTGCAGCAAACAGCGACCTACCAGGAGGACTCAGACCAGTCTGCACGAGCTTCTTCTCAGTCACGAAGTCTTCGAACTTCAGGCCGAGCTCCGCCCAAGATCAGAGTGCCTCCCTTGTCTTCAGGTCCAACCTAACACCGGGGTCCTGGATGGCTACCCTCCAATGAGTCGGGAAAGGTCACCCCTCGGTGTTGCGGACCATGAAATAGCGCCTCTTCCCGGTCAGGACCTTGTTAGGGAGCTCGTGCAAAAGTTTGAAACCAGGGCGAGGTGACAGATAGTAAGTTCGCTTGTGCTCGGGCAGAACACAAGACGAATTCTTCTTAATGGAATGAATAGAAGAAAAAACGTTGAGGTCAAGGGGAAGGTTGTAATCGTGGAAAAGTGAAATGGTCCCTACAATGTTGCGGATAGAGTTCAGGTGTAACTTATCTATGGTGATGTTGAAAAATTTTACGATCTTGACTATAAGGGGGTGAAGTGGAAGGCGAAGACCAACTGCAAGCTGCTCCTCGAGATCGTGATCCCAAGGGAAATTGCCTAAGGGGATGCTATACACAAAGTCATTGGAAAGTCTGTATCGGGCTACTAAGGTTAGGAGCCTGTCCGTTGTCATTGTCGATGGGCCAAAGTTGTCTGGCAGCCGACCTCGGTGTGAGGTGGAAGCCAGGTTACCTAAAGCCTCTCGCTTCCGCCAAGGTGAATTCGCCTCGGGGGGACCGCAGACCACATTCTAACCCAAAGTAACCACCTCAGTAGGACGAGAATCCATAGTCTAAGCCGAGGTACCCACTTCGGCTCCAGCGGACTCACCACTCCCATCTAAGAGACTATCAAAGCCAAAGCTAGACATACTAAAAAGACACAGAATCAAAAAGAAAAAGCAAAGGGGGACTCACCAAAGGGAAGACCGAAGAAAGGAAGGCAACCTCGGAAAGACACCGAATTGAAAGACTTGAATGCGACCTCAAAGATTGCGGATTTGCGGACTTGCGGCAAGGAAAATGAGTCCCTTGGCCCCTATTTATAGCCAATATATCCGGGGATCAACGGTTGAGATCCACACAATCTGACGGCTCCTAGGGAAACCGGTTGCACAACCCCCGAGGCTGAAATCGATTTAGCGCAAGTTTTGACATCCGCGGAGTTTATAAAACGGCGTGACGTCCGCACGTGACTCAGACGCAACCTGGGTTATTCCTGAGTTGAGTTGAGCGGTCGAACAGGTCCGACCAACGATTCACCCGTCAAGTCGCCTAGACCTCGTGTCAAATCCACTTGGACTCGTCACGAACTCCCCGCACCGGGTTGAGAACCCTAGCTCGAGGAGTGGGGGGCAATTGATGAAGGGAGATTTGGCTGAACCTAGCAAGAAGGGGACACGTGGGAACGATCTAATCATGGGATGACAGCTCAGTCTAGCAAGCCTACTTCGCAACATTTGGAGCTCGGGTATTCAGCCACCTCGGCCCAAAACCCACCTCAGTGTAGAAGCATCTCGGCATCCAATCAAGTTTGAGACTAAAGAATCGAAGTACCAGATCGGAGCTAATGACCCAAATCGCCACGTAACCGACTCCAGAGGTCTCTCCAACATATCCCAAGTTACTCGAGATCGTGATGAACTAACAGATCCTGACTTTTCCGAGATCACGATAAGAACTCGTCCTGGCTTTGCCAGAGTCAGAGATGAAACAATAAGCCTTATCTACATACCGCTCCTCCAAAAGCATAACAAACCTTATCTCCACACCCCGGAGATCCCAGAGCTCTTTCGTGAGACTCACGACTACTCTAGTATATAAAGACAAAAACCTCAAGGCAAAGGTACGCGTGATTACTCTACTCTTTAGCACTCAAGCTCTCAAGCATTCAACTTGCATTTAGAACATACTTACTGACTTAAGCATCAGAGAGACCTTACCGGGTTAGCTACCCTGGGTTCTTTTGCAGACCAATCCAACTCACCGTCTACCTGAAGTCTGGATCGCCCCCCAACTAAGAGTAGTCAGATCGCGCACCATCAGATGTCAACAATGATATCCCGTAGTGACTCTTTACAACAATAGTCAATTGCAAGACCCTTCTTCAGAGGTTTTAGGATTTTACCATCTCCTTTGTACCACGTACAAGTAACAAGGTTGCTCATGCATTAGCTAAATATGGTTGTGTTTTGAACAGGCCGGACCACTACGTGGTCTACGACCCCTGATTTTCTAATACCTGTACAGCTGTACTGGCAGATGATGCAATGAATTGAACTGGAGCGCAGCATTGAATTATACTTTAGGCTTCAAAACAGAAATCGCACATCAGAACCCTGTTGTAAATCTTGATGAATGATGAATAATAGTTGATTTATTTATTGATTGGTTTTCAAACTTTTAGGTTATGTTTGCTTTTAAAAGAAAAGATAGGGAAAGGAAAGGAAAGTTAAGAAAATTTATACAAGATTTGTAAAGGTTTCCCTACTTTTTCCTTCAAACCAAACATAGCATTAAGGTATCATGTCTAATCTATGCTTCATGCGGCTACCATCAGTTATATATGTGCACAAAAAAAAAACAAATATATATATATATGCACAAAAAAAAAAGCATCTATGTTTTGTCCTTTTCTGAATCAAAACTGAATCTGAATGTATTAAATTCGAAAGATTGACGTAGCAGAAACCGGAATCCCGTTACCACCAGGGTTGGGCCGTTGGGGGGTTATGGGTATATGGGTGATGAAAGAAAAATCGTAGATGATTCTTACAACAACAATGGTAGGTGACCTATTTTGTTTGACTAAACACTTCATGGTCTACCTCATAGACAGCCTCTGTTATCAAAAGGAGTACTCTTGGGGAAAGAAGAAGAACAACAACAACAAAAGCCCCAGCAAACCGATATATGTCCTCTTCATTAGAAAGATTGACATTCTTAAATAGAGACTCCCATAAACACTTTGATGCAAGGAACAAAAAGACTAATCCACAAGCTGCAAAGGGAATATTTTAAATATGTAACAATATAATGCTCTGCAACGGATGTGACTAATAGATCTCTCTATAACACTTGTCAGTTTGTTACAAACAAAACCAATGTGAGGATTAGCCTTCAATCAATCAAAGAATCCATATCATACAACTAAAACAACATGCCAACTGGATACACCTTTCCCATTAGGTGCTGACAAAAGAATGGAAAGATAATTAAACACAAATTCACAACAAACAGGCAGTCTTTAAAACGTATGAAATTGGAATTGCTACCAATCTTCTTCATAACTGAGATTGGAATAGATCTGTCAGTGTCACTGATGGTTGCAGAACGTCGGTAGAACAATGGCAGATTGATTTATGAAATTGAGCTGACTGATACTATAACTTCCATGCCCAAAAATCTAGAACAAATTCCCAAAGCTCTTTGTTACCTTTGTATTGGGCTATTGGCTTAAAGGAATTAATTTCAAAATATCAATAGAGCAAGTTACTCGCAGCACGTCAGTGTCACTGATGGTTGCAGAACGTCAGTAGAACAATGGCAGATTGATTTATGAAATTGAGCTGACTGATACTATAACTTGCATGCCCAAAAATCTAGAACAAATTCCCAAAGCTCTTTGTTACCTTTGTATTGGGCTATTGGCTTGAAGGAATTAATTTCAAAAGATCAATAGAGCAAGTTACTCGCAGCACGTAGGCTCATGCTCAAGTTGCAACTTTTCCCAGAGGCATAACACCATCCTTGGACCTTGATAATGGGCAAGAATATAATTTGATTCACACCCGGCATTGTAAAACCGATCATCACTGACATAGTGCACTTCTTTACCACTCTTCTTAAATTGTTCAATCCATATCCCCATTGCAACATCTTCTAGCTTGAAAAGCTGGAAAACCAAAAGCAAACACACACACACACACAAAATAAAGATAGAGAAAAAAGGGAAGGTTCAATACAAGCTAACGAAATAAAATTTTTGCATTTTTATGACAGAAAGACGGTGTATTTTTTTTATTGGTATAACATTTCCATGCAGCACTAAAATATTTGAACAAAATTACAAAAATAAAAGTTGTAGATACAAAGTACTATAAACCAAAGGCTGTACAGGGCTCTTTCACAGCTATCCCCAAAGTACCTCTGTCTTGCCAAAGAACAGCATAATTCCTAGATAATATCTCTAGTGTCAGTTCACCCCACTACCTACAGGCAATAGTCAATTACACAATCTAGAAATCAAATGGCATGATGATTTGCACTCTGATTATCAAAAATTTTGCACTCTTTAGTGTCAGTTCACCCCACTACCAACAGGCAATGGTCAATTACACAACCTAGAAATCAAATGGCATGATGATTGCACTCTGATCAAATGGCAGAATCTCTAAAGGGAAATAATATAAATTAGTGTGCACCCAAACATGTCATAAAACCAATGAAATTGCAATAGTAGTGGGGTGCTTTCTTCCATTCATGGTACATTTGTATAAGATGTAACTAAGTCCTACCTTGAGGTCTCTTTCTTGGTGGCCCTGAACAATGAATTTTGCAATGTCCCTTGAAATAATATATCCTGGACCATGAGCCCATGGTGGATATGAAGCATGTGGCCATTCCTGCACAGCAAAACCCACATCAAAATGAAAATTCTACTTCACAAATTTTTCTGAAGATAAAAGTTGCCTGAGATTAATACCTCAGTACTGATATACCATTTGCTGTCTCGATCTCTATGGGGTTTTGAATCAAAGGAAATTAGACCATAGAGGAGTCCATTGGAGACCTTTCCCTTGAGACTAGAAAGAACTTCATCAATTCTGACAAAAGCATCATCATCCATTTTCATTATGTATTTAGCAGGGAGAATTTTAATCTGCAAAACAAAAAATGAGAATATTATACTTAACTAGGAGAAAAAAAGAAAAATTAGTATACAAGAAACTTTATCTAACATCAAAATTCCTGACCCCCTTGCAATTTGTTAGACTATAAGAACTATATACAGATTGGAAATGCATGGGACCAAGTAGAGATATTTCTTAGAATCTTAGACCAAATGAATTGATAACAATAACCACCATAACCACATGTATCTTTTTGGATGGATAAAATAAGTGAATGATCCAAAAAGAAATCTAGGGAATAGATGGTTTTGACAGATTTTTTAAAAACAAAATGAAAGTCACACAATCATCTTTCTTCTTATGCACCACTGTGCAATTTGTAGAGATTGCTTTACAATATATTGCATTCCAATTCTAGTAAATTATAGAATAGAAAAATAATATGAAAGATCAACTCAAACGAACATCATTTTTCATCAGTAACGGGATCAATGAGATCTAAGGACTGGAGTGAGCTGTAAGTGGTAAGAAATGATCTAAGGACTTCCAGTTTAACAGAAAATGGCTCTTGATAGAAGGTGATAGCAGGTCAAGCTTCTTGTAGTGGACCCTAATTAGTTACACAAATAAGGCTGAGATGAATTCGGTCACATATCAAGATCAACAAGATTTTAACAAAAAATCATCAAAAAGAAGATTGGAAGAAGAAATAAAAGTACAAGAAGCCCCTATGCCATATCATGTATGTCTCCCCATGCAGCCCAAGTATACAAGGGTGCCCTGGCCTGGAAGAAAATGACAACCATACAACTCACTTTTGCCTATACCAATTGTGGCTATGGAGTCAGATAAATCATCAGTGGATGTCCTTGTCAAACAGAAAAAGATATTCCAGTTGGCCACCAAGCATCTAACCTATCTAATATAATGAGCATAAACCTTTGTACAGAGAACTTAAGAGTTAAGAGCATCAATCTGTATGAGCTCTAAAATAATTAACAATAACAGATGAAAAAAACTGAAGTGAATTTACTTATTTCTTTATGAAATTTTATATCTACATACCCCCATGATGCAAATAGCAACTGTTTTCAATGTGATCAAGTTGTAATAATCAACAAAAGGCATCAGTTGGATATCGCCATACATCTGAGATTCTTTCCATAGCTCAATGTTAACTTGCTTGTTCTTTTGCTGCAGATTTGAAAATAAAAAATAATTAGAGCACATTTTCTTTCTGAAAAAAAAAAAAGATTTTTTTCTTCAAAAAAGTTTCATCTCTTTTTAGCTGAACTGGGGGAAACTGTAGCATATGAATGAAAAAAAAAAAAGAACTAAATAAGTCATAAAATCCCAGCACACCGCTGATGCACATCCTCGTCTAGTACCTAAAATAATCAGATGAACATGAAACTCCTAGCAAACTTAAGACATCACTTACAAGACCAATAAAAAAGCGGACAGCCACATCCCCAGAGCGTACAGCTTTATACTGCATCCAAGACCTCCTCAATGCCATACGACGCTCAAAATTGTTTCCAGTTGAGAAAACCCCAATTAGCATTGTAAGCCTTTTCCTAGAAACTGGAGGTGCTTTGAGTTGCTTAGCATCAATAATCAAATCCATATCTTCAGAGACAGGCAAGCCATTTGCCAAGGCAGACAAGATATGTAAGCCACCTCCCACTTTTACTCCACTAACCAACCATGGTTCAAGTTTCTGCAATGATAGAAATAGTTTCAAGGGTGGGGATCACTACTACTAGAATTGAAAATTACTAATGTATATAACTGCCTTGTCTCATTCAATATTTGTTACGACTTATGAGTAAAATGATCCATACCTCCCTATATGCAAAAGATGTTTCATGCCTCCCATTCACAGTCATATGGAATCCCTCTGGTCCAACCCACAGTGTGGCAGTAAATGGATTTCCTTCAACAAACGGGAAGTTAAAAGTTATGTGTGTACTTCCCCCAGAAGTATTAGTCTTACTACTGGGTTGACTGCCATTGAGGTTCTCTTTCAATACAGTTCCCATAACTTGTTCATTGCAAGAAATGAGTCCATCAACTGTAATACATCTGTGGAAATACATTAGAAAACTAAACCCAAAGAAGCTTTTGTTCTGATAATTAAGAAAAAAATATGTACCAAGTATTTCCAAACAAAGATAGACACGGCTGCTTCATTATAGAAATTTAATATACATGTTTTACACAGTACACTGAAACCAAACCAATAACAGGAACTGATATAATGGACAGATGGAGAATTGGAGATGCCATGTCACAATGCCCAATGGATATAAGTATATATAACTTGGCTGAGTACTTTTGACAAGTATATGAGTCAGTAATAACTGAAACATGTGAAAGTCTGCAAACGAAAAATAAAAAATAGCATAGATGGACAATTTTTTTTGGGACTTGGGAGAACCAAGTGCAAGTATTCTTGCCATAATGTAGGGCCAAGTGTTGATCTATGACTTTCACGTCATGCTCAGCATCAAGTGTCTATGGTGGGCCATTTGGGGACTCATAAGGCAAACGGAGCTCCATGCTCTGAAATATCTGACAGTGTATTGAGCTAGTTTAGGCATGTAAAGTTTTCTTTATTTATCATTAACTAGAGAATTTCATTACAATTATAAATGAGATAAGAATACAAGCACAAGTGATAGTAATCAAATCTTCAGGTTCCCCAATTCAAAAAGAATAAGAGCTAACCACACAAATTATCTGCCCCACTGACAAACAAACTGTTGGGACCCAAACACTCCCCCCGAACCCAACTATAGGAGTAGAGCAGACCACCACCCATCAGCAGTTCACAAGGAGACAGAAAGGACACGCGACAGAGCCCCAGAGTTGGTTACTCTGTAGCCAGAGGATATTCCCTCCATGATATCTTCCAGAGTTAGTTACCCTGCAATCAGAGGATGTTCCCTCTATGATTACACCTGTAGGCCAGCTATACAAGGCCATAATCATATAATAAAAGGAGTGAATGAATATCCCTTCGTTTTCTCTCTCTCAGTCCATCCTCTTCCTACCTTCCCTTCTCTTCTTTCCCTTCATCTTCTGTTTCAGGAGGTTAAGCCACCCTTGAAGGGGCTTCCGAGGTGAGCGGTATCTCATCAAGTTGGTATCAGAGCCAGGCTATCCAAGTCGCAGGTCAGCTATGCCGCAGACACGTTCCTCTACCATGGATGATAGAGTCGACCAGCTTGAGATTGGGTTCCACCAGGTGCTGAACGAACTCAGGGAACTCAAAGTGGTTGTCTCCAGCATCGCCTCTCAGCAACAATCCGGCGAGACTAGTCACCCAGCAGGGGCGGAAGCCTCTGCTTCAAGCAGCCAAAGAACTAGGTGTTACCCCACCAGAAAAGTCACTAAGATCAACTTTCCCAACTATTCCGGTGGAGATCCCATTCCTTGGATCTTCAGAGCAGAAAGATTTTTCAAGTACCACGAAACCCCTGCACACCAGCGCGTCTCCATCTCTTCCATTCACCTAGAAGGAGACGCAATTCTATGGCTCCAGTGGTATCGTCAAAACCATCCTCAGGTAACTTGGGCGGAGTTCACTGAAGCTCTGTGCATCCGTTTTGGGCCGACGGCATTCGTGGATTACGACGAACTCCTCACTCAGTTAAAGCAGACTGGGACGGTAGCAGACTACCAGCTCGAGTTCGAGAGAATGGCGACCAGGGTACATGGATGGCCGAAGAAGGCCTTAGTGGGGTGTTTTGTGGGAGGCCTCAGAGAGGATATCCGCCTGGAGGTGAGGGCTCTCCGTCCGGTGACAGTCATGGCTGCGGTGGATTTGGCTCGCCTGCAAGAAGAGAAAATCGACAACCTGCGCAAAGCCAGCAAGCTGTCCTACCCAAATGTGAGGGTTACCCAACGGGCCGATCAGCAACCCATGAAACAAGTTGGGGATTCTCAGAAGCCCATTTTGCCCAGGCCCACTATGCCCTTCAAACGCCTCTCATGGGCCGAGATGCAGGCCTGATGCGAGAAAGGCCTCTGTTACAACTGTGATGACAAGTTTGGGTCGGGCCATAAGTGTCGGGTCCAGCGAGTGTTTCTCCTTCAGACAGAGGAAGAGCCGGAAGGGACAGAACCAGAGCACATAGAAGACTGTGAACTGATATCAGACAAACCAGAACCTGTCGGAGCCGAGATCTCCTTACACGCTCTCATGGGCCTCAACCCTCTTTAGTCCATGCGAGTAGAAGGAAGATTGGTTGGCCGGTCTGTGACAATCTTGATTGACAGTGGCTCTACCCTGAATTTCATCACTTGCCGCTTGGCAAAGCAACTAGGTATGACTATACAACCCACTCCTCTTTTTTCGATCCATGTGGCTAATGGGAGTCAGATGTTATGTGATGGTGTATGTAAGAAGGAAAAGATCCTCATACAGGGACATAATTTCGTGGTGGATCTCCACCCATTGGATTTCTCGAAGGCTGATATTATTTTGGGAATTCATTGGTTACGTGGCCTAGGTCCTGCACTTTGTGATTGGGCCAAAATGACAATGGATTTTTACCAGGATGGTCAGACTTGTCATTTACAAGGGGTGTGGCCTCCTAGTCCCCAAGGTGATACTTTAGCTTCCATGATACGGGCCTCCAAGGATGCTGGATTGCCCTTATTTATGCACTTAGGCATTCGGCCCACAGTCCCAATTTTAAACAATCAGGGCTGTGACCAACCCACGGAAGCCCAACATGAGGCCTTGCGATCGATACTCGATCAATTTGGTGACATATTCAAGGAACCGAACCAATTACCTCCACCCCGGGCCCATGACCATCAGATACCCCTCTTACCAGATTCCAAACCAGCCAATGCAAGGCCATATAGATACCCTTATTTCTAGAAGCTGGAAATTGAAAGGCAGTAAGAGAGCTATTGGACAAAGGGCATATACAGACCAGCACCAGCCCTTTCTCATCCCCTATACTCCTAGTGAAGAAGAAGGATGGTAGTTGGCATTTTTGAGTAGATTACCGGGCCCTGAATCAGATTACAGTGAAGAACAAGTTTCCGATACCCCTCATTGATGAACTGCTGGACGAGTTAGGGGAAGCACAAGTGTTCTCCAAACTAGACCTGCGGTCCGGGTATCATCAGATCCAGGTTCACCAGGTTGACATCCACAAGACAGCCTTTAGAACCCACGATGGCCATTATGAGTTTCTGGTTATGCCGTTTGGACTCACCAACACTCCCTCCACCTTTCAGGCCCTCATGAATGACATCTTCAGGCCATTCCTAAGGCGATTTATTATGGTGTTTTTCGATGACATTCAGGTTTACAACAGGGATTGGGACACCCATATGGAACATCTTAAACTTACCCTCACAACCCTAAGGGAGTACCAGTTACATGCCAAAATGACAAAGTGTTCCTTTGGACAAAAACAGATTCAGTACTTAGGCCATGTGGTTGCAACAGGGCGGGTCATGGCAGACCCAGAAAAGATAGATGCCATCCAAAAGTGGCCCAAGCCCACTACTGTAAAGGCTCTCAGGGGTTTTCTTGGGCTTACCAGTTATTATAGGCGCTTCATTAAGGGGTATGGGCTTATGGCCACCCCTCTAACACGTCTGTTAAAGAAGGATTCTTTCGATTGGGCTGATGATGCCCAACGGGCCTTTGAAGACTTGAAGATAGCAGTTTCTAGTCCTCCAGTCCTCACTCTTCCAGACTTCTCTCAGCCCTTTGAAATAGAGTGTGATGCATCGAGTGTAGGGGTAGGGGCCGTCCTGATGCGAAAAGGGCAGCCCATTGCTTATTTCAGCAAGACTCTCTCAGCAACTCACCAAAATCAGTCCACTTATGTCAAGGAAATGATGGTTGTGGTAATGGCAGTACAGAAATGGCGTACATACCTATTGGGACGCCAATTTATTATAAGGACAGACCAACGAAGTTTGAAGTATATAGCAGAACAAAGGGTGCACACCCCGGAGCAGCAAAAATGGCTTAGTAAACTTATGGGATTTGACTACCACATAGAGTATAAGCTTGGGCCCGCAAACAGAGTAGCTGATGCCTTATCACGAGTAGAAGAGCTAGCCCAACTGACCTGCTCTCAACCCAGTTTTCCCTTGTTTGAAGCTATACGGCAAGAAGCCAGGTCTGATCCGCAGCTACAGGACATTAAGGATAAGTGGAGACGTGACCCTTCCCAGGTTGCAGGTTACCAAATTGTAGGACCTGATCTTTTCTTTAGGGGCAGGTTTGTGGTTGCTCCAAATTCCATCCACAAAACTGAACTGCTAAGGTTGCTTCATGATTCCGCGTTGGGGGGACATTCAGGGGTGCTACGGACCCTAAAGAGGCTCAGCAACCACTACCATTGGGTAGGAATGCACAAGGATGTGTTGCACTATGTATCCATCCAAATGCCAAACCTGCCGACAGCAGAAATACTCCTCATTCTCCCGCGGGCCTTCTACAACCCCTCAAGATTCCAGAGCAAGTGTGGGAAGACCTCTCCATGGACTTCATCACAGGACTTCCCCGTTCTGCAGGGAAGGAGGTTATCATGGTAGTGGTTGACCGTCTCACCAAATACAGCCATTTCTCTGCATTGCCTCACCCTTACACCGCAGCAATGGTGGTTGACATCTTCATACGGGACGTCGCAAAACTGCATGGAACACCAAGATCCATAGTCTCGGACCGTGACCCTACCTTCCTGAGTTCATTCTAGAAGGAATACTTCCGATTGCAAGGAACCCAACTGCACCCATCCACAAGTTATCACCCGCAGACTGATGGACAGACTGAAGTTCTTAATCGATGCTTAGAAGCCTACCTTAGATGCTTCATAGGGGAGAAGCCTAGACAGTGGGCCCACCGGCTCCCGTGGGCAAAATA